ACCTGTCTCGCCCTCCTCTCCCTCGCTGTCGCCTCCCATGTGTAGCGTGGCATGCTGCGGCGCGGCCTCCACGCTGGCGCTCTTGGTTGTGGCGTTCGGATTCTCGGACAGGAGGACGGCGGCTTCTTCAAACTCTAGACAGAGAGCGGGGAGAGGTCAGAGAGCCATTCCGGGTGACAAGCGGAGCCGAGGCATCAGGTGCCGATGCCACCCAGCATACGCTGCAGCTGTGCGAGCGTCAGAAAAGTGTCCCATTGGGGAGATTTCCCTTCACTTCCTGTCCAATGCCCACAACAGGAAATGAGAGGAAAATCCCTGGTGTCACCAGAACTAGTGTCAGCAGTGGCAGATTTCACATGTATTCCTGGTCTGGTGACAACCCAAAGTTTGGGATTTCCATTCACTTTCAGTGATAACATTCACCAGGACAGACAGGGAGGGTGAATCTCCCTAATGGGGACACAGGCGGCAATAAAAAGCTGACAGGGGGGTCCAATTCCTCTCCACATTATCCAAGACTAAAAAAAAAAGGTTTGGGCTTCCGTTGCACTTTAAATATTACCTGGTGATCCTGCAACGAAAGGTCTGATCAGGCACTTCCTGTTATGCAGTGACAACACTCTGTCCTGATCACCCAATGGGGCTCATGTGTCGTCACCCTGTCACATGGGCGCACAGCGAATTTCAGAGGAAATCGGTAGGTGATCCAGCTCACCCAACAATAAAGTAATCATTTTAGATGGGTCCCACCCCCACATCTACACACCTCTGCCATTGTTTACAGAGTTCCCCTTTATTCTGCCCACCTGTCCCAGTCTATGAAGTACCCCCTTTAACAAGTCCACCTCTGTTTTAGTTTATGGATGGCTGTACTTGTGCAGCCTCCAAACACAGAGGTTCCCGCTCTGTCCTCAATGGTTTTAACACTGTTTTGGGATTTTTTTTTTACCTTGGAACTGGAGCTGGTCGGGGGCCGCCATGTCAGCTGAGCGACATCTCACCGGTCACGTGACATTCCGCCACTCCACTTCCAGCGGCCGCGTCACCTCAGCCTAGACTGTACCACCTGCGTCATCGCTGGGGACGACGACGTACCGTTCCTGGCCACAGACCATCATTGTGAACGTCAAAGCTGTTACATCTCATTATTATACTACACTGTGACTGGTAACTTGGCGGCGCTTCACACGTTGTTATCGCATGTTTTTCTTGGTTCTCCATAATACTTATTAAGAAGCTTTCTATGGCCCCGATGTTTGTTATGGTGCGGAAAGCAGAGACACTGGCATAGTTGGTTTCAGTATGTTGTTTGACATGTAACGTGTCAAGGAAATGTTGCTAAATAAAGAAGAAACAAGACGGAACCCCCGACAAGTTCTCATGTTTCTAGCGGACGGTATTTAGCGGAGTACTAGTAAGGGCAGAGAAGCCGGAAGTGGGGGCCGTGTTAGCGGAAAACGATGGCCGGGCGGTGTATAGGGGTGCTGTACCGGAGGTCGTGCTCCAGCAGCGCGGCCCCGGTGACGGGAGAACCAGTGAAGCAGGGCTTCTGGGAGCGAATGAAGAATAGGAAGTTCGGTAAGTTACTGAAGCCGCCATGTTTGTCCAGGGCACACGTGCCCAATTTCTCCTGTCTCCCTGAAGTGGGACTTATGGCTGTGACAGGGCAAGTCGGGGGTCGTGACGGCGCCCCCCCTCAGTCCTGCGCCCGGGGCAAGTGACCCCCCCGCACCCCCGGTTGTTACGCCACTGCAAGGACTGACTGGCGAATGAACAGTTCACAGCAAATTAACAGGTTCTCTTTAGAGGCCACCCCATGTTCCCTGTGCTCTCCCACCAATGGGATCCCTATTGGATGGTGTCCGACAGTCCGAGCTTACACAAGGTTAAAGCTGAATTCCGGCCTTCCTTTCAGTCTTGCACAGCTGTGCCGGCTCCTCTCCTGGACTGAAATGGCTTCCTCTGATTTCACAGCAGAGGCTCATTTCAGGTCCAGGGGTGGGCAACTCCAGTCCCCCAGCTGTTGTGGAACTACAAGTCCCATGGGGCATTGCATGACTCCCAGAGGCAGATGCATGGAGGGATTTGTAGATAAAACACAGCTGGAGTTGCCCATTGTTGATCTAGCCCTTTCCTCCCCGGCCTGTCTGGCCCTTTCATTCATTGGATTTCAGTTCTTTCAATCATGGCAGCTCAGCATCACATGTAGGTGTTCCCTAGGATGGTCTGCATGCAAATACAGCCTGCCTAGGAACGCCCACTGCTCCAGGCTGACACCCATCCAGCATGGCATTATGATATTTGCATAACTCCTCCCAGGAGCCAGCCCACTGCTTACATCAGGGCTGAGGCAGGGTGCTGTGATGTTTTCAGGAAGCTATGCACAGAACCCTGCCGGCTCCTCCCACCAGCCATGATCTGCCTGCTTTAATATTTTCCTCCTCCTTGTCAGCTGACAAAGTATGAGCTCAGCGATTGGCTTTTCAGGCCCCAGCATTGCATCCTAGGGGGTTATCCCATGTTCCCCCATATGTTCCCCAAGTATTTTGCAAGTCCTCCAACAGAGCAGCATCGGGGGGGGCATGAAAGTTAGTTGGGCTTTCAAGAGACTGGCACTGACCCGAATAGGCGAAGCAACAGATTATCTTAAAGAACTGCATCCCCAGCGTGTGTTTAGTGTGTTCCCTCTTCCCTGGAGGAGAGGGGAGGCTGTGATCATTCACATCCAGAAGAAGGCTGAGGATATGTTCCTGGATGTCTCTTGTGCTATCTGATGAGGTGAGTCAGAGGCCTCTGGAGAAGAACCCAACCTCCGCCAATCATTTCCATTTACTGACTTTCCTTTTTCTATTTTCAGTTGCCTGGACCAAAAGCCTCCTGCGTGACTACGGCGAAGCCTGCAAGGACATCGTGGTTGGCGCCAAGGAGCGCCCGGGCAAAGCCGCTCTGTACATTTCCCTTCTCGCCGGCATAGGCGTATGCTCCTCCAAAGCACCCTCTGAGGACTTCTTCCATTCCTCCATGCTGGAGGCTTCCTCCTGCCTTCTCCTTCTCTCCCCCTGGACAAGAAACGGGAGGTCCGACCAGCACGTACAGAGACTGATAGAGCTGAGGAACGAGGGACGCCTGCGCCACATCAACCTCACCGTCTTCTCGCTGATGTATGAAGGTACTTCTGATCCCGATTGTGACCTGTACACCACCCAGTGCCCCCATCTGCAGCCTCGCTGGTCGGAGTTCCCCAGCAGGGTGCTGGACGTCGGCTTCTTTGGACGCTGGTGGCTTCTCCAGGAGAAGATGAAGGACTTCGATATAAACGAGGAGGAGTTCGCCCACCTCCCCGCACACATGAGGGCCATTTCCTATGATGATCTTCACTCTGAGAAGAATGAGGGGTTCTACCTGGAAAAATTCAAACACGTTGTCATGTTGGAGGACACCTCAGAAGAAGATGTCATGCCGGAGGACTCCTTAAAAGAAGATGTCATGCCGGAGGAGGCCTTAAAAGGAGATGTCATGCCGGAGGAGGCCTTAAAAGGAGATGTCATGACGCAGGAGGCCATAAAAGATGTCATGCCGGAGGACTCCTTAAAAGAAAATGTCATGACGGAGGAGGCCTTAGAAGATGACCTGTTTGAGGAGGACTTGGAAGAAGATGACCTGTTTGAGGAGGACTTGGAAGAAGATGACCTGTTTGAGGAGGACTTAGAAAAAGATGTCGTGTGGGTGGAGGTCTTAGAAGAAGACGTTGTGTCGGAGGAGGCCTTAAAAAAGAAAATGTCCTTTTGAATGACTCTTTAGAAGAAGATGACATGTGGGAGGAGGCCTTAGAACAGGGGTGGCCAAACTCTGGCCCTCCAGTTGTGGTGAAACTACAAATCTCATGATGCATCTCTCTCCTTGGGAGTCATGTCTGTGGCTGTGAGAATCTTGCAATGCCTCATGGGATTTGTAGTTCCACCACAGCTGGAGGGACGGAGTTTGGCTACCCCTGCCTTAGAAGATGTCATGTGGGAGGACTCTTTAGAAGAAGATGTCGGAGGATTCCTTAAAGGAAAATGGAAGCCAGACTTAGAGGACATCTCTTTATAACTCTAGAACCTATTTATTTGTAGATCTGTAGATGTACGCTGGCCCTTTAATGACGTATTGCTGTGCACGGTTCACTTGTATGATGATAAATACTTCGAGGACGGAATCCTCCTCTGTTGTCCTGTCTGCAGTTGGAGGACTTTGAAGTTTTTGAAGAATAAAGTTCAGTACATTTTTCACACAGATGCGCATCTGGCTGTAGACCTACCCTTCCCCCACACAGGACTAATCATACAATTAGGCCATCGCACAGAGTAAAGCATCCCAAGTTCAACTGCGTTGAAGAACTCTGGGCAAATCAAATCTTACCCCTTGCAGTGGAGCTACCCCGGCACTGCGAAGGTTAAGTGTTTGTTTTGTCTATGGAGCTAGAAGAACAGAGATCTACTTATCCGGTCTGGCTCCTAGACTGGTCCCTTCAGCCTCGCACCCCCTCCACTCCAGCGATGGAATGTCACTTGGTGTCCTCCTGTCCGATACACTGTGTAGGATGTGATGACTTGCAGGACCACCGGAGCGGAGGAGGAGCGAGGGAAAGCTCGTAGCGCTGCTTGGTAGCTTCAAAGCTTGCCTGCTTCTTCCCGACTTGGCCACATTATAATGAAGGGCCACAACCTTTGTGTGGGAGGAGAGAGTGAGCGGGCTGTGTGTGGATAGGTATATGGTACCCGCATGTCCTACCTAAGATAGTGTATTCGGGGGGTAGGAGGAGTTGGTGCATTAGACATCACCAAACGCCCCCCCCCTGGCAAGATGCCAACCTGTCACAGGGGCCTGGTACCCCATAGCAAGTGGCTGGTAAGTGTGGACATGATCTTGCTGTGTTGGTGCCGCTCGATAAATCCTTCATTATATGGCGGCGGATACAACAGAGGTGAGTCAATAAAGAGGGTCCTGCTGCCAAAACCCCCGAGTGGTGCTGATGGGCAGAGCTCCTTACCTCCTGCGCCCCAACCTTCAATGGGTCTCATTTAACCACATAAGACCAGTGCCGGATCATGGAGTGTAGGGAGGGGGACATTTTTTTAATACAGATTAGCACATTGGTCTGTGAAAATTATAATTGTATTTAAATTGGGGCATGACAGTGGGTAGTGCATCTGCCTTGTAATATTGGGGGTCCCCGGTTCATATCCCGGTCAGCACACTATCTGCTTGGAGTTTGCATGCTCTCCCTGTGCTTGTATGGGTTTCCTCCCTTCCTCTCAAAGGTTAATTGGCTCCTGGCAATAGGGATCTTAGACTCTTAAGTTCCTTGAGGCTCAGGGAGCGGGGACTTCCAGGTCCTTGAGATCAGGGATGGGTGTGGATGTGCAGTATCTAAAGCAGCGCATCAATTGCCAGCTATATAAATACCTGTCAAATCTATTTCTCCAGTCTGTAGGTAAACTCGCAACTAATGAATCCAGCCAACTCAGCCTTATATGATTGTTAGGGGGCGGAGGGAATGATCACACTCAGATTCAGGACAACCAATATCAGATCTACCACTTCTCATCATGTTTGCATGGATTGCTAGCCATTTACTAAGACTGTAATGTGTTCATTTCTTGGCACAGCGGTACTGCAATGTGGCCACTAGGTGGCGCTGTATGACCACACCAGACTGAATTATTCTCTAGGAGATCTGAGATTGCCTCGTACTGCCTATGTACAGTATACACATCATCCGCTTTCCTTAGACATGTTCAGAATTGTAAATCATACATACATATGTATGTTCAATACTATGACATTGGTTTCATAAGAACTGTTCATGTAGTCAATTTTGTTTACATACAACACAATCAACAAGTCTAATCTATGACACGGGTACAGGTTGTGTATTTTTCATTGTGAATGTTAGTAAAAAAGTGAACCTTGTGTGTGACTATCCAATCATGAGCTGGGGATTTAAAAAAAAAAAAAAAGATTCTCATTTCCCATGCTCCATCTAGTGGCCATCATTTATTTATTCCTATGCTCCTCAGCTCCATCTAGTGGCCATCATTTATTTATTCCTATGCTCCTCAGCTCCATCTAGTGGCCCTAATGTATTTATTTACTATGCTCCTCAGCTCCATCTAGTGGCCCTAATGTATTTATTTACTATGCTCCTCAGCTTCATCTAGTGGCCATAATGTATTTATTTCCTATACTCCTCAGCTCCATCTAGTGGCCCTAATGTATTTATTTCCTCTGCTCCTCAACTCCATCTGGTGGCCATAATGTATTTATTTATACTCCTCAGCACCATCTAGTGGTCATAATGCAGTTTTACATAATCTATTCGACTGGAAAAGAATATATACTAAGATTAGTTTTTTTGGGGGGGTTTTGCATAAAATGAACGTTCAGAGATATTCACTCAAGCCCACATGCAGAAAGCCCATCTTTCCTTTCACCGTGCTTTGTTTTCTTATACTTATCTCTGTGTTCTTTATCTCCCTTTTTGTTCCTCCTCATTCTTTTGCTTGTATCTGTATTTCCCTTTATATCTGGCCTTCTGCACTAAGAGGCAAAACAATAACTGGGGTGACTGTTGACCTTTCATTGTCCTATGCTGCCGAGGTTCATTGTACAATTTTGTCTTTGGCCGTAATACAATATACTTAGGCCATGGACGTTGATCGCCGTTATGCTCAGTGTCCCACCCTTGGTTGTATTTGTCTGCGAGGAATAAAATACAAAGTAATACAACAAAATGGGTTCTGAACTGTGAAGCAAGAGCTGAATAATTGTCTATAGGAACTGGGTGGATATCTTATTTCTCAATCCAATGGCGCTGGTTTTCCTGCGATTTTCCGGAGCGGGCCCCTCTGAACACTGTGCTGTTTTTCGATCTAGCTGAGCAGGTAATACCATCCATGGGTTAAGATTAAAACACATACAAAAGGTTACCGGGGCAACACACGGGGTCATTAGATTGGTACAGAGGTGTCATTATTTGCACCAATTAAGAGCTTAAGAGTAAAATAAAGTTCTCGTAAGTTCCTAATACAGAGAGACAGAGTCAGGGGACCGTGTACAACGCTCTGAACAGGTGAACGCTGCATAGGGTAAGTGCATCCAGATATCTTTGAGGCTGGTTAGTTCACCCTCTTCCAAGTATTGGACTTTATAAAGGAGGTATATGCCTCCAATGGTGAAGGTTTTAGTATATTTTGCGAGTGTCCCGCTAGAGAAGACCGGTCACTCGCTCGTAGTTCTGAAGCATTAATGTGAAGCGGACACCTGAGGGTGTTTTTACATACCTTTCCTCATTGTTTATGGCACCAAGTGCCTTGTGTTGGCCACTAGGGACCTCTACCATATTTAGAGGCCAGTAGTGAGACCCGATGGGTGGAAGGGGTAACCCTGACTGGAACTTGCATATCTGAGCACACAGAATTGTAGAGCTCCCAAGGCATGCTGTAAACTGAATGCACATTCACCTGTGTGGGGGCCAGGTCAACAACACAGGTACACATTTAAGAGCCCCCCCTTTTGCTTTTTACCCTGTTTTGGGCTTTCAGCAAAAAACATAATCACCTGCCCAGCAAATCCAGTGTTGTCCTAGCTGTGATCCGCCAATCTGCTGCCACAGCTAGGGTCCCGCGCCACCATCTTCTTCTGTGAAGTCATCGGGACCCAACTGTCTCCTCAGAGTCCTGCAGCTACTCCCCCAATGACGTGTGGCCAGGTCCCCCCTGGGCAATGTGTGCCCATGCTCTTGCAGCCTCCTCGGTACATCCACCCTATTGCAGAGACAGTAAGGGGGATTGCAGGGAGCTAAAGTGTGCTGAGCCACTGAAGCTTTGCAATATAAAATTGCAGGGAGCTAAAGTGGACTGGGGCAGCACTGAAGGTCCCCTTTAAGGATTTATCATCATCGCCTGTTATTTAACAATAAATCTGGAGGTTTTAATTTCAGGTGTGCGAGAGGTCATTATATACTCAGACTGAGAAGTCAATTGTCATCTGGTGCTTGTCTTTGGCAGCCTGAGAAACTGGCCATGCGCTGTTAACTTTCTCCCACCATGGCAAAACAGCGTGAATAGAGGAATTCCCACTGCTGGCCATTGTATTCATCATCCAGCGGGACCAATGGCTTCTGAATAACTGACCAACGCTTGCATCTGATTGGATGATTACTTAGCTAATAATTTTTCACCCAGCTCCTTGTCGAGCTGGGTGGTGCTAGCAGGGCCACCTATAGCTCAAAGTTTGGCCAATTCAGCAGGATTTCAGCTGTGGGTGCCCAGCTTTAATCTCATTCCATACACCAAGAGGGTGGAGGCAGATTCAGGGACAGCCTTTTGAAACCTACTTATACGCACATGGGTATGGAGCAGCAAGTGACCTCCTCCCAGGATGCTATGCTCAGGTCTTTCCAGGCCCTTAACAATGTCACAGGAGGAAACGGATGACAACAATATGTAAGCTCCTACACCACCTGACATGGAACTAACACATGGTTGGGACTCTGATGGATGAACAGAGTGGTGGAGGATCTCAAGTAAGTAGAGTACAGTGGGTTAAAGGTGGACTTTCAAGAGACTCTGTCAAGTGATCAAGTCTGTTTCCAGGGTCACTATGAACTATACTAGACTTCAAACAAGATATTTAGACGATAAAATATGTGGAAGAGCTACTAAAACATTTACAAATATATATGTATAGGGACAAGCACCTGGACAGAACCTGAGATAGCTGACACCTCATGACAAAGCTCTGCAGCAAAGCACCATGGATGTGAAATCACGGACCCGGGAAGATAACCAATAATAATCAAAATAAGAATTAGCAATCTGGGCTTGCAAGCTTGGGAACCACATGTATAAAGATATGCTGGAAATATCCAAACTTGTACATGCTGTTAGATGAAGGAAGAACTTCAAATAAGCTCAGCGCCTCTGGCAACTCCAACATAGCAAGGCTTCCCTCAATGGGTTCCCGACAGGAGCTCAAACCATAGAATTACATAAAGAAGCGCCAGACAAAAAATGGATAAAAGAGTCCAAGATGGTTGGAAAAGCTGGAAAGAGTCCAAGACCGTTTTTAATTCTTGGTAAACAGGTCATTAAAAAACAGCCAATGCTTTTGGGGGGCTTCAAAGCTTGGACAAAGCAGTGTTCAAGACCAGAGTTAGGTAACCCCAACCCTAAGGGGGGAACTAGAAGGTACCTCTAACAGGGTTATTCACAAAAGGGTGAAGAGTTTGGAGAAGGCAGGAGAAGTGAACAATCTAAGACAAAATAGCTGATTTAGAAAAATTCTCCAATTCAGCTCACTTTCCACATCAGCTATGTTGCCCTAGATTGTTCACTTCTCCTGCCTCCTCCAAACTCTTCACCCTTTTGTGAATAACCCTGTCAATCTCTTAACTCTATATGCATTTAGAGCTGTACATTTTCCTCCCTAACTCTGAGCCGGTCGTTATTTATAAAAAAAATATATAGAAATGGTAAATGGGTCATGGACCTATGCTGGACCCTACTAGTGGTGGGTCATTGGTGGTGGGTCCTACAATCCCTATTATAACGTGTAGGAGATCACAGGCACACCTCTCACCCTAGGAGGACTGATGGTGCTGGAGAAGTCCCATAACATCCTACAACTGCCAAGGACCATCATGGGCCAAAAGGGTTCCATAGCAGCGCATTGTTTTCTATTAAACATGCGGTATACTGAAGTTTGGAAAGGTCTGAGCACACATTACATAAACAGTGGCAGCTCCTGAATAGCAGAGCCTAGTCCCTGGTCAGGAGTTGTGCCGTATCTCTGCTCTGATCTCTCGCTGATTATCCAGGTCAAGTCTGGACAGGACTGTTTGCTCTCTGCACGGTACAGTTTACCATGCGCTCTGCTAATAACAGTTCATGTTTTTACATTGATTAAAGCAGCATTACACAAAGCGTTGTGTTTACAAGACAAGGTCCACTTTCCAAGCTCAGGTTTGTGATAAATATTATATATAATGCAAATGCACCCAGTCATCGATACTCCATAGTTTGAGCAAGACTCGATTCCCTCATCCACACGTATGAGCATGGGTGGAGGAATGCCCCTGCCGGCTATTGTATAGGTTGCCAAATCAGCTGCTCTTAAAGGTGCCCATACACTGCACGATTATCGTACGATAATCGTATGCGATCGGTTTTTTGTACGATAATCGAGCAGTGTGAATGGAGACGTGCGACCGTTTCTACTGTACGGTCGCACGTCTTCTGTCGAACCAGCATGTTCGAAAACCAGCCGGGAATCGTACGATTCTCGGCTGGTTAGAACGGTGCTCGGAAGACAAATGCCGAACGGGCCGGTGTGCGCACGCGCACACTGCCCGTTCAGCATTGCGGTCATCGGAAGCCCGCCCCTCAGGGGGGCGGGCTTGCGAAGATCGAGAGTGCGATCTGCCTGTCCAAGATAGGCAGATCGTACGTTTTTTTAATCCCTGTACAACCATCGCAAGACTAAAGTCTTGCGATGGTTGTAGAGTGTATGGCCACCTTAAGCCTCCCATCACAACTCAATACAACTTTCAAGCTGCAAGGATTGAAGTCCACATATGTGATTTCTCTCATTAAGCCCTGACGAGGGCTTAATGAGAGCTTAAAGGAGAACTATGGGGTTAAGGCTTTTCCCCATAGTTCTCCTTAGGGTAACGGGAGGACACAAACTAGCGTCCTCCCGTCACCCTATCAGCGCTGGCGGATCGGAGGGGGGAATCCAGCCCCTCCACTGTCACGGCAGAGAGCTGTGACAGGATCGAGAGGTGAGCGAACGCCGGTATGTGTTCGCTCACTTCTCGATCTACTGAGTCGACCTGTGACAGTCTCATTGTCACAGGTCGGCTAGAACTATGAGGTGAGTGAAAAGCACTCATCTCATAGTTCTCCTAATTAATGTGTTTTGGACCCCCGAAACACGTTGGCTACTCTACTTGAATGCCCCCCTAAACCTAATGGAAGAAAGTTGTATCTAGATTACTATAATTGGTGTAATCTACTGTGCTGGCTATTGTGTTCTGATCGCCAGCTCAGAATAGCCAAACAGTAAATGCAAATGATCGGGTGACAATTTTTTCATCCGGCTCCTTTTTCGATTGGAAAATTGGCTTTTCTTGAGCCTGATAGTGTCAGCAGGGCCACCCGTGGATCAAATTTTGGCAGATTTAGCAGGGGAAAAAAATCTCAGCAGTGTATGGCCAGCAAGCACCATTCTTTGACAGCCCGCCTCCCGGATCCACTACTGGAGCCCCATTGAAGGCCCCGTGCTTCTGGATATTGAGCATATCTGATACACCCACTGGCCTTCCACAGCACAGCGGTCCGAGCTTGGGGGACCCAGACCCAAGCAACTAGTCATGAAAGGGTGGGTATGCCTGTCTAGCCCTGTGAAAATACAAGGAGGGATGGGGCAAAGCTGGAACAGCAAATAGTAGGTAAGGTAAATTTCTTTATTTTCTCCAAAATGTCAGAAAAAAATCTGAACATTTTAGCAAAATGTAACCATTTTACCAAGTGCATTGAAGTAATTGAAGGAGAATTGATGGTTGTTTTAATAGTGCAGATTCTAATGGTTCAGCCGCTGGTGTGCACTATGAAGGAAGTGGTGCAATGCACTATTTACAGCACATTGTGCTGTTTACCTTTTTTTATCATTTTATCTAACTATCAAAAAGTGGTTTGTTGCGTATAGCTAGGCGAATGCCATTTGCATAGCACTAGTGCACCTAGATGGCGCTGACAATTATAGGATTTCCTATACTCATCAGTGCCATCTAGGGGAGTCAGACCTGTGCAAACGGTATATAGCCGGGCGAAACTTCAATATGAACCCCATAGTGGTGTCCTGCAATGCAATGTAGTTTGATGAAAAAAAAAGTACTGCATGTCCTACTTTTTTCAGACCATATCTTTATATTTATATAAATATATATTTGTGCAGCGCAGTGGTGGTAACTGATCTCATAGGGCACAAGGCGAATTGCCTTGTCTACACATTGGGACTGCAATGGGGAAGGCTGCCCAGCACAGCCCAACGCATGTGATGTAAATGGGCCCTTAGTTTCCCTCCTCTGGACTTTGCAGTTGAATTCAGCAAAAGAACCATAGGGTTAAGGGACTGTTAGGGCCTGTTCACACGACATCCGTTTTCTGTGCTGACCTGATCCGTGCGCTCCTGCACTAAAAATGCATCCCAATGTATCCCTATGTGCTTTATGGGCTACAGTTCTCACGTGCGCAGTCCGTTCAGGTTATGACTGCATGTCTCATTTTGTACGGTCCGGAAATGCAAAACGCATAAAAAACGCACTGCACTGCAGCTAACATACTGACAGCCCCACTCCAGCAAAAAAAAAAAAAGTTTTTTTTTTTTTTAACTGGAACGCATCAAAAACGCGGCAAAAACACATAGCACCGCGTCTGCAGATCTGCACCTGATCAGGACCTGAAACTCATGTGAAGAGGCCCTTCGGAGTAGTTAGAACGCTCTATACAGTTCAGGAGACACAAAACCATCTCGTTTGGTGCTCTGCTCATTTGCTCTACATACTCGTAGATTTTCCTACAAGCTTGTACAAAAGGGCTTCATCATTCAGCTGTACCTAGACCAGCTGATGGCCATTATGCTCCCAGCAGGTGGTAGCTGCTTCATTGGCCTGTAAAAATAATAGCATTAATAATAGAGCAGTTTTGGATGGAGTTAAGAAATGTGCAGCTTTACCGTTGGACGAGAACCTGGTGGTTTCCTAAGCTGCTCATGCTAATGAAAAGCATCATTCACACTGCCAAGGCTCTTGTGTTTACTACTGGTATTTCCCCTGTGTACTAAACACACCTATGTGGGTGCCACAGTTCCGCACTGTGTTTATTGACAGAAAGGATTAGTTGTCACAGTACAAGTGACACATGACAAATTTGCCTCCTTCAGGTACTCACAAAGATCTGTCGCTGGAGCCGTTGTGAAGCTTTTATATACTAGCAGCCGGCGCCACCAAACAGGGATCTGTCCCCACCAGTGCCAAGCGTCCCAAGAACAAGCGCCCACCATGACCTCGAAACCTGGAGGGCAGAGGGCATCTGTAGCCAGCGTTAGACTGGGAGGTACCACGGACGCCACGGACAAACCGCTCCTGAAAATAGTAAGACCGTTATTAGTAAAATGACCCCGACACCAGAGCTGGAAGCATTCTTGCTGTTTATCGACAAGCGTCAAGGCAGATAATGAGCTCAGCAAATGTTACAGAAGATTATTTGGAAGGGCTGACCTTTTGAAACTGCTCATTGCCTGGCTTTCCTGCTGACCCAATAACTTTAATGCTTTCAAGACTGGAACAAGTCTGCAGATCCAGAGTTCTGACTTTATTCTTGCATGCTTGTTCCAGATAAGCTTAGAAAGTACTGAAGCCAGTGATAGCCAGGTCTTCTTAGAAGGAGGTCAGCATTGGAAGCCTGCAGGCCGCAGCAATTACATGTTTGCCCTAAAGCCTATCTCTGGGAAAAGAAAAATGCTTCCCTTGCAGTGAGGCTATCCCCATTAACTGCTCATTTTTGTCTGGGGGTATTCTGCAAAGCACTTTTACTTACCTGATCCCCGCTCTGCCGCTCACCTCTGCCCCCTCCGCTCCAGCTTGTGCACTGTCCTTTGGCATCCTCACATGTAATGCACAGTTATGGACCCTGCATTAGACATAATGATATCAGTGGACCTCCGACTGCCGGAGCTGAGGGAAGAAGATACAGCTGGCCCCAGTCTTCGAGCCAGAGGAAGCGGGGATCAGGAAAGAAAAATAATTCCTCTAGGAAAAAAGGAGCAGTTAACCCCGTCAATGCGGGAGTAGCCTCAATGCAAGGGTAGATTATTTGGAAACAGGTTTTAAAGCAAACAATGCATCAAAATGCAAGTTCTGCTAATTAGTTAGAACCACCTTCCCAACATAAGAATGATGCATTTAAATAAAAAACACACATTACAAGAAATGTAAAAATATACATTTCTTGTAATGTCCAATGGCAATGAGGGTGATGGTATGGACTTTTTGCTGGGGTCCCAGGAATGCTGAGGATTTAAGTTCTCACAAGAAGATGCTTTAGCACAATGCAGCTCTAATGAGAAAGAACACTGCAATTTGATGCAAGGTAACCAATAGAAGCAATGGCCCTGTGGTGAATGTGCAGCAAAAGTTCAGCAGATAGACATGAGAATGGCAAATAATCAGGAAAATTGCCGGGTAGTCACTGAATAAAAGATTAAAAAGGGTGAATGATTACAGAACCCTGGGGAAGCTGATTATGTGTACACTGCACTTCATAATACAATAACAATGTAGAGTTTTTGTGCAATATTGCTACTCACTTCCTATTGTGGGATGGGAACTGAAGAAAAGTTTCCCCATTGGGACAAAAACAGCAAAATATAAACCTGAAAGGGGTTTAAACTAGGGCTGGTAATGATTAAAATTTTCGTGTTTGATTAATCTAATTTTTTTTAAAAATCGATTAATCAATTAATTTCGATTAATTATAACGCACGTACACATCATGGGGAGGAGTCCGGTGACGTCTATGTCCGTGACGTCACCGGATCTCCGACGGAACTCCCGGAAGACCTGGAAGACGGCGGAGAGGTGACTATCGATCAAAAAATGAACGATTAATCGAGGAATTAATCGTTAATTTTCACAGCCCTAGTTTAAACCATTTACTACTCTCTCCAAAAGCAAAAAAAAAAAGAAGTTTTGGCTATGAATTGGAACAGGTGTCCTCATTGAAAGATTTCTCCTCACTTCCTGTGCCCGTCACATGTGTAATATTTTGGTGACACCAGGACAGATACAGAAAGGAAAGTTTGGGGTTTAAGTGATCCCCTTTACTGGCTCTCTTAAGTCACTAAAGATGCAAGCGTTCAGGATTCCTTAGATACCCTCATCTGGCTTTAAACATTTATAAAGCTTGATGAAAGGACTCCCAAAAGCTTTGATATTTAAAGGGTATCGCCTAAACTCCAAACTTGCTGCACTAATTGATGGCTAAGACTAGGAATGCACCGATACCAATTCCAGTATCGGTGCCGATACCGAGTATTTGGGCACGTACTCTACTCGCACAAATGCTCCCGATACCGGAACTTCCGGCATCAGGAAGCCGGGCGGCGAGTCATTACACACCGCCCGGCTTCCTGATTGGCCAGGAAGCCGGCTCCATGCTCCCTCGTCAATTGGTTACAAGTGACTCACTGCCCAGCTTCCTGATTGGTCGGGAAGCTGGCCAATCAGGAAGCCGGGGCAGCAAGTCGTTACCCACCGGCTTCCTGATTTGCTAGAAAGCCAGCACCATGCTTCCTCATCACCTGGTGATAGGGTAGCATGAAGCCGGCTTCCAGGCCAATCAGGAAGCTGGGCGCTGTGCAATGACTCACTGCCCAGGTTCCTGATTGGTCAGGAAACTGGTGAATCAGGAAGCCAGGCAGAGAGTTATTACCCGCCCCCCAGCTTCCTTATTGGTCAGGTGACGAAGGAGCATGGAGACGGCTTCCCGGCTAATTAGGAAGCCGGGTGGCGAGTCATTACAAGCTGCGCGGCTTCCTTAATGGGACTTCCGGTATCGGTATCAGTGAGTACCGAAAAACCGGTATCGGTGCATCCCTAGCTAAGATGGTATAAGACTCCAGGACAAACATAAAGGATGACTCTTCCCACCAGGTACAAAGATAGCAATACAAAATGACCAAAGCTATTCTAACTAACTCTTCACAGCTCTAGCCAAAAAATGTAGATACGCTTTAATGACCTCACCATCTGTATACCTGACAGTGTGATTCTGTTTGCAGGCTATGCTACGGAAGCCCACCCTGGGCAATGTGTCGATCAGTAACCAGGCCTCTTGGAGTATTGCAGGACTTCTGGTTGCCCAGCGAATGAGAAAGAACCTAAAGGTACGTTCCTAACAATTGTCTGTATCAGCAGCACGATGGGAATCAGGAACAGAGAGCTATATATAGAGTCTCCAGAAATAGTACCCTACAGTGCAGTGCAGATGTATACATATGAGAGCTCACTAAATCGCTTCATTTTACATTTTGGAACTATTGAAAGATGTACCAGAAGGTCAGCCTGCTAGGGTACATTAACTTTGAATAATGGAATATATATATTGTGCCTATTTTACAATATATTATACTCTGGCCACTGGACCACAGACCAGGGCACTTGGTCCTGCAGATATCTCCAGATTATCAAGGATAAGGGTCGGGATAATATGGACTCCAAGCGTTTTTGTTTAAAGTTTTTGACTTTTTGCTTGGGGTACTCCTTCAAATCCATCCTAGACCCTTATTCAGGCATGCAGCCTATGTGGACAAAGGAGGATTGGAGGGGGCAGCGAGTATGCCCCTCCTCCCCCTTCCTGAAACATACCAGGCCATATGCCCTGCAGAAGAAAAAAAAGGACATGGGTTCCCCCTAAAATCCATACCAGTCCCTTGTTCTAGATAGGGGTCTGGTATGGATTTTTAAGCAGGAACACATGCAGAAAAAACAAATGGCAAAGGGTCCCTCCAAATTTCAGACCACATTCTTATCCAGACATGCAACATACATAGTACACCTTGTTATTCATTCAGAAGAAAAAAAATAGAAAATATCAACACCCATGCTGTATCAAATGTCCTACGCTGTAAATCCAATGTAGATGCAATGTTTATCATGTCACCCAGTGATGTAGATCGATCGTCAATCATGATGAATGGCGCCCCGACACCAACGTTCCTCTACCGCCAGGCTTCCTTTGCAGATTACATTTCTCTGCTGAACCCAGCTGACGTCATTCACCAAATATGGTGAGTGACGTCATGCGGGATCCCTGGCGGCTTGTCTACAATACCTCCAATAAATGGATGACTTCCGGTTAAAGCAGCAGGAGGTTTGGGAAGCCGAACTTGCCAAATCTGACCATTTAGTCTGCCCGTTCGATGGAACTCATGAGTGACCCGAAGCTGTAGGGTAGCCTGAGGTGCCATGAGAAATGTACAGCTACCGTCAATGACACCCATACAAAATTACTAGAAATATGATCCCATTGGGAGAAATATAACAAACTCAAAAGGTTTGATCACACACTGTTGCTTGTCTTTGACTTGTTCCTCCTTGACCCGCCGACTCCCCTCCCAGCGGTCCCCCCACTTTCCTTCCCTGGTCCCCCTTCTTCTATTCATTCCCTCGGTTACTCTCCGTTTGCTTTTCTTGCCTTTCTGTCCTTTTCTTACACTTTTTCAGCTTCTCACGGGACATTGACTGAATTATCTCACCTTTAGAATGGGCTATCCCATTGATGCACGACGGAAAGTACTTTTACAACCAGGCTCCCTTCCTTTCATCTTTGCCCATATAGGTTTGCTTTGATATTCTTATGAGACCAATGGTACTGGCACATGATATCTGCACTGTACTCAACTGACCGAGGACCTGTGGTGTCCCAGGCAGTAAATGTGATATGTAGCCTTCTTTTTCCAGAATGTATAACTTGACTATCATTGTTCTTTATTGTGTTATATGGATTGCCATCTTTCTTTACTGTTCCTTCTCTATGTCCATACTTAAAAAAACCTAATAAAAAGTTTGTGAAAAAAAACCTCTGCTATAAGCATACATTTTGATTTTTTTCTCAGGCACACACAAACAGCAAAATGTTAACAACCGCTTCTGATTTCTAACCTTCACTCAATATTTCTAAATATATAATTGAATGCTGTTGACAGACATCTCTATAAACTGCCTAAAGACATACAAAATGTATCACTAGTTATCATGCCCTGATCTGATAATCTTCCAACAATGGATAGCATAACACCAGCACACCAAAACCTTCCTTAGTCTGACTTTATTGTAAAGTCAACAGTAGAAGCAACATGCACAGGCTTATTTACAATGAGTTCTTAAGCAGTATGATCATAAGGTTTAGGCGACCACTGTAGAGACCAACCATTGTGACACTGCAGCTCAATGAACCAGTGCCTTAGATGTTTGCACATGGGCAAAAAAAGGTACATGTATCTTTCTGCTACAAGTGTCTTCAGTCTGCACTTACATACGTGGTAAACATAGGCTGTAAAGAAATCAGGATTGTGTGCTCTCCTGGCTACCATCTTGTAGCCTTGGCCAAAGTGTGGCCAATTAAAGTGTAATGGGGGCCATACATGCATCAACTTTCAAACAAGCTACAACCAAATTAAAAACAAACTAAAAAATGTCCAACCTGTCTGGTCATTCCCTCTTGGAATAGGCTCCATCAAATTAGTTCAAGGTGATCAAAAATGCCCAAATATGCTTCAAATGGCTAAAGGTTACAACTGGAATATGAAAGCAATGGAATATAAAACGACTGGATTAAAACATGCTTAGCCAACCTAAAGAAGGTCATATGCAAACATGAGCATGGCTATAGATAAGATACTTGGCCCTCTTAGCTTGAATTAGTTATTTCCTAAATTTGGAAATGCTCCATTGTTTTCCATGTGCTGCAAAGATTACATTTTGAGAACGATGGGGATCTGTCACAGAGAATATCTGACTTGTCAGAAAATCTTTATAAGCAATAATGAGCACTTTCAGTGTTTAGAAGCACTTATGATCTCTTTCTAGCTAATCCCTAAGGAGCCAAATGATCATAACTTTTGATTGTTTGGCTGCACCTTATTCAAATGTAATATGTATGGTCACCTGATGTCCACCTAAAATGAATAGCCCAATAGACAGAGCATGTTGGGGTCCAAGTAACATTGAGTGACACTTTAAAGCCCAAGCTTGAAGCTTCATCCTAAATGCTATATAATAAAACAGGGTGTAGTAAAATAGGTAAGTTCTATGTCTCAGCTTTTTATTGCATGCTGCAAAGATGACCAATAAGCTTTGTGTGAGAGCAGTGGTCTGATATGCCCCCTACAGAGTCAGACCTACGTGTTTCCAATCAGCAACACTTGCGGAGAAGATGGAGTGTTGGTGACTAGAGACCTGTAGACCTGACTCAGCTGAGGACCTTGGAGTGGTTATGCTCCCTGTTCCTGATGAAATCTCTCACGTGCTGACTTCAATGTGTTTGCACATACTGGTTCATACTGTGTGTCATCAACCTTGTTTGTTTTCCCTAGGAGAGAAGGGCCCAGAAAGTGGCTAAGAAGATTGAAATTATAGAGCCTCAGGTGAGTAAAACCAATGTGATATTACAATTCCATTACCTAGCATTGGTCGGCTTGTAATAGGTCCACGGGACCCTAGATTTGGGTGAAAATGCAGTCCAGTCTCAAGCAATCTGGGACTGATGGGAGGTATGGGTCATGTCATTAAAACCAACTTCTTCCAAAACCTTTTTAAAGGTTTTGATAAACTTGTGAAGTTGAGGAAGGAGGAAGTGGGAGCAAGTACATGCAGAAAAAAAAGTACTTCCTCCCCCCCAAAAAATACAGGTCATGTAAATGTGGAGCAGAGAGGTGGGG